TGAATGTACTGATGAGAAACCTTTTCGATAACCCTCAAGAATATATTTCTTTCCTATCCTGCCATGCATTTTTTTTGAAATTTTAGTTATCATGGTCCGTGGTCCATTAGCAAAAGTTAGAATGCTGTTATCATAAATGACAGTATCGCCTTTCTTTAAACTGTTGTTTAAATTAAATTTTATTGGAGTTTTACCGCAATGAACATGTAAATATTTGCAAAAGTGCGTGATTTAAATTGTCAGACACTTCATAACATCCAAGCCGGTTCTAAAAACTCGCAGTGGCAAATTCATTCCACCTAAATTACCTGGAAGTATGTCATATCATGTCAAACCAGATCGGCTTCATGGTATTAATATCAATAATAACATGTCAGCAAAAAAGTCTTACTGCGTTGACGCTGTCATCGCTCTTCGCAGCAGCATTTTAATTGAAGATTCTGACAGATATAGGTTAATAAGAATTTTAAGTATCCCTCCCATACTACTTCAGGATGAGATAATTATGTAGATTCACCAATGTATTCCTTCTCAAAAACATGTGTTATTCTGCTAGGTAAAATACTTAAATAATAACTTTTGATACTTTTTCGTTTCCATCCAATGTTCACATTTCCTGCTTTAGTATGATCTGCTATATTACTCCAGATGTAATAACTGTAGCCTCGTAAAAGCCAAATGCAATCACACTCGTATGCTATTACTTGTACAATTTAAGTCTCATTTCGATACTCATGACATTTTTAACCTTTCTAGTTCTTCTAATAGACATTAGCACAAGCGGTCAAGTATCCAAAGTGTATAATTTTATCAGTGAAACCAATAATTTTACCAGTGAACCAAAACAAAGAAATTAATGATGATGGATCCCTCGAGCACTAAAAACTCCGGACGTAAACTCACTCCACTCTCGGAATGTCCGGGTGGAGGGTGGGCTCGAGGGAACAACCTCGAAGATAAAATTTGTTTTTCGAACATCTGCGGGATCAACAGCAACATTGATGCTGTTCATCACTACCTGCAATCCAATCGTCCCGCCGTGCTTTTCTTGGCGGAGACAAAAATCTCAGAGACTGCACCGATTAACCATCTCAACTTCCCAAACTACGAGGTGCACTCCAATCTGAGAAAGAACGGGGGAGTTGTGGCTTTTGTCCGCAGCAGTCTTTCCTGCTCCAGGGATCTTTCTTTGGAATCAGACCGGAAGGACATTCTGTGGCTTCGCCTCAACTCCAAAACATCACCCAAATTTATTTGCTGCCTTTATCGCTCTCCCTCGAACCATAACTGGGATGACCTACTCGAATACCTCGCCGTCCAGATCGACTTCCTGAACATCAATCACCCCGCTTCAGAGGTAGTTCTTCTCGGTGATTTCAATGCCCATAATGAGCTTTGGTTGGGCTCAAATAAGACCGATGCAGCAGGTCGTGCGGTCGAAGCGTTCGCTCTTACTCAAGGGCTGACCCATCTGGTGACGAGCCCTACTTTTTTCCCCCGCGTCTCGTCACACGCCAGTAGCCTGCTAGATCTCTTTCTGACCACGCATCCTGCCCCTTACAGCACTGCTGTCCTGTCCCCCCTGGGTAATTCAGATCACGGTGTTGTGGAGGTTATGTTTCGGTCAGAAGCCGCTGTGGCAGCAGAAACTCGCACAGGCCGCAAAACTTGGCATTACGGACATGCCGACTGGGAGGGGCTCAGAGACTTTTTCTCTAGCTTTCCTTGGAGAGATGTCTGTTTCACTGACGCGGATGCGTCGACTGTCTGTTCTTCAATAACCGAAATTATCCACGTCGGAATGGAGGAATATATCCCTCACACAGTGAAAGTTCCTAAACCAGGGTCCAACGGCTGGTTCAACAAATCGTGTGACACTGCTCGCCAGCAGAAGATCAAGGCCCACAGAACCTACTTACAAAACCCCACTGTAGAGAACAGACAAGCCGACGTCGAGTCCAGAAACAAATATAACGAAGCGGTTCGCAATGCCAAAAACCAGCATGATATAAAAGTTAGGCACAGGGTAATGTCGCAGCGCAATGGCAGTCGGTCTTTCTGGACGCTAGCCAAGCAGATTGAAAAGAACTTCTCACACAGTAGCCTTCCACCACTTACGTGTCAGGATGGAACTATTGTATTCGACTCAAAGGCCAAGGCGGAAGTGCTAGCCAAGATCTTTGCTGCCAACTCCACCATGGACGTCCCCACCAACGCCCAAGTGCCGTCAATTCAAAGGGTTCCCCACACTATGCGGGAAGTAACATTCAGGCATAAGACCGTAAGACGAGTGCTCTTGTCGCTCGACATCAACAAAGCTTCTGGTCCGGACTTCTTCCTGCCATTGTACTGAAGAGATGTGCAGCGGAGCTTGCTCCAGTTCTTTCGCGTCTCTTCCAGATATCTTATGAATCCGGCACCTTCCCAGAAAACTGGAAATTTGCTCATGTACAGCCCATCCCAAAAAAAGGATCTAAAACCGACCCTTACAACTACAGGCCTATAGCTCTGCTTTCTGTTATAAGTAAAGTGATGGAGAGGTGCATAAATCGCGAGCTTCTGGACTACCTCGAACGTCACAGCTTGATTAGCGACAGGCAGGACGGTTTCCGGCACCAACGATCCACAGGGGACCTCCTAGCTTACGTCACGCAACTGTGGAGTAAACTCATCCAGTCTCATGGTGAGGGTCATGTCGTTGCTCTTGACATCACGAAAGCGTTCGATCAGCTGTGGCACGCTGCCCTCTTAAGCAAACTTCCATCCTACGGCCTCCCAGAAAAGCTTTGCAGATGGGTGGCTGACTTTATCTCTGGCCGCAAGATATCCGTCGTAATTGACGGATTCTCCTCTTCATCCCACAACGTCAACGCGGGTGTTCCGCAGGGATCGGTCTTGGCTCCGACACTGTTTCTATTACATATCAACGACCTCCTTTCCTGCACGATCAACCCAATCCACAGCTTCGCTGATGACAGCACTCTACATGCAGGAATTCAGAGTGACAAGCCGATCTCTGCCGCTGAGCTGGAAAAAAGAAGACTAGCGACGACTTCTTCTCTGACAAGAGACCTGGAGGCTATCACTGCTTGGGGACGCAACAATCTTGTACAGTTCAATGCTTCCAAAACACAGTACTGTACCTTGACGAACAAAAAGCGTCCTAGCGCTCATACAGTTTCGATGGACGGTCGAGTTCTACCAAAGAGCCATTCATTTCGGCTGGTCGGGGTCCAGATCACCGAGGACCTGATCTGGCACGAACACATCTCTTCAATAGCTGCAGCTGCTGGGAAAAAGCTAGGCTATTTGTTTAGGGCTAAGAAGTACTTTTCTCCGCATGACCTTCTCACTCTATACAAGGCCCAGATAAGGCCTAGCCTCGGGTATTGCTCACACATTTGGGGTGCTGCCGCCCCGACTACATTGTCCATGCTCGATGCTGTCCAGAGGAGGGCGGTCCGACTGATCGATGACTCTTCTCTAACAGACAGTCTCGGGACTCTTTCGCACCGGCGGGCCGTCGGCGATCTAGCTCTTTTCTATCGCTACACCAACGGGCTTTGCTCCTCAGAGCTCTCTTTCACGATGCCGCCGCGCGATGCGCCTGCCAGACAGACCCGCCTGACTTCGGCATCCCATCCTAACCGTGTCAAACTTCGTACATCCAGAACTGGCCGATACGACCGCTCCTTTGTCCCGAGGGTGTCTAGATTGTGGAACAATCTACGGTAGGAAGCTTTTCCCAGTTCTACTAACCTTAGGCAGTTCAAAAATCGTATTAACAAAATTTCTTTGGGATCATCATAGCGGTGTTCCGGCATTTAGGCTTCTGCCTGCGCGGCTGTTTCGATATAAAAAAAAAAAAAAGAAACGTGCAGCGAAATTCATAATCCTAGGCTAGAAAAAACCTTTGTCCAAGGAGTGGTGTTGAAATACGCGTTTCGTTGATGATTTCGTTGGCACTTGAGAAATTATTCTTTTAATATTCCAGTAATTATTAGTAAGTTCCCTTCTTCCTTTTCACATCATGCAGTTCATCCAGCCTCATCAAATTTCGTTGTTGGCCTTTTTATTCTGCTATTTTTGACAAATATACCTGTCGCATTTTCACAATTCGTCTTGTCTTCATCATAGATTGGCCATAATTTTATAGTTTTGTATTTGAAACAACTACCATAGTGATGAAAAATGCAACTTGAAGTTGTATAAAATAGCAAGCAGGGGGTTCCTTAAAGAAAAAAATTATATTTTCGTAAAAGTTTGCGCTAAAGTATAGTCTTACCGTTCAATCCACGATATGCTTGGAAACAGCAATAATGTCAGATTTCTCTTACTTCAAATGAGACTTCGTAGTGTCTCTATCATGATCAATATCCAGTTCTTCAAATATTTCCAACACATAACACAAAGGATGGTATAGAAGCATTCCAACTTTATCGTTAAAAATCAGTGTGGAATAATATACTAAAAATTTCAAGTCTAACAGTCGGGCATGGTAGAGGTAGTGTAAGCAAATAGCCAACTTATTCAATTCAATTCTTTATTTGTGTTAAGTACACCAGCGTGTTTAACAAGTCAAAAGAAAAAAAAAATAATACAAAAAGCAGTCTGACAAAAGACTGATGTTCAAATTAGACAGGAAAACGTCAACGTATGACATTATGATTCAATAAAAGCAGAGACAGCAAGTCCATATAAGTTGTAAAAACAGGAAACATAGATACACGCATATTCATTTAACCACAATACGTATGTTTACTTCTACACACACACACACACACACACACACACACACACACACATATATACATATATACACATATACACATATATACGTTAAAATGGTAAGACATATGAAATGTTGATATAAAAATTTACCAGATGACTTAGTAGAAAGTTCAAGGAGCCTAGAGGGATCCCAGGTGTAGGAACACTGTTGTATTTGCTAACAATCCGACACGTCTGTAAAATTATTGCTCAAATACTCGTTGATCGAGTAAAATGCTTTAGTAGTCAGATAAGCGTTAATTTTATTTTTAAAAACTTTCGCATCCAGTTTCTTTATACGGTCTGGCAACAGGTTATAAAAAAGTATCCCATAATAGTTTGTGCCGTTCCTGATGGTTTGGAGACAGCTATGAGGTACTAAGATTTTATCCATATTTCTGGTTCTATAACTGTGGACATCACTGTGGGTAGTATATTGGCTCAGGTTAGTCTTTATATACATCAGACATGTGAAGATGTAAAGAGAAGGTACTGTTATGATTTTCAATTCTATAAAAGCTTCCTTACAAGGTTCCGTGTATTTGAGGCCAGCAATGTACCGCAAGCAACGTCGTTGTAATCCAAAAACTTTTGACGAATGGGCCGAGTGACCCCAGTTTAACAATGCGTATGAAATTCTTGATTGAAATTAGGAATAATATGTTAGAAGAAGAACTGACTGAGAGACATTTTGTTTCAAGTTCCTTATCAAATATATACAGGGTGACTTCGAAGTTGAGTCATTTATTTTAACAGTGTGTAGATCTGATCAAAGGAAATGTTTTTTTCCTTTACCATTTTTCTGGTAAAATTAAAGTAACAAAGTTATAGCCCTTTGGAAGTTTGAGTACCGCCCTGTCTCAATAATATCATGTGTTCGTGTTTGGCAACAACGGTTCATCGCATCGGAAACAAAAAAGCGAAAGAATTTGGAACGATGTTTTTACGATTACAATTCAGTTCAGTTATACATACAGTCAGTTTCAGTCGCGTGTGAATAGTGTCTGTTGCGTGGCTCAAACGAAATAAAAAATGGCACATGTTTATGCGGATCGGTTTCCCAATCGAGTGCAACCAACCCCTCGTGCCTTTGTTAATGTAGTACAACGGGCTCGTGAATCAGGTGACTTAAGACCTCACAGGGGACCTCACGATCAAATACAGGTCCGCACTGAAATACTTGTCGGGAGGATACTTTATAAAACAAGGTAAAATTTTTTTTTAATTTTTTTTTTATTTTTACACACATATTTTGGTTTATCTTCCTTCTACAATCATTATCTGAAAATTAATGACTCAACTTCAAAGTCACCCTGTATATTTTGCTAGTGCATCGAGAACATGGATTACGTGAGTTTCCCACGACAAGTGTTCATCAAGGTAGACTCCTAGTATTTTCACGGACTTTAGTGTATTAGTGTCGTGCTGCCTCAAGCTAAGAATAATCATCTGAGACTTGGTTTCATTGATGGTCAACTAATTAGCGGTTAACCAGTTTGCTAGTTTTCTTTTATGATCTTCAGAGTCGAATATCAATGAGGCTAAAGAGGCATTGCTATTCATCAAGGTAGTGTCCTCAGCGAATAGGATTGAATACTTATTCACATTATAGTTAGTTATATCATTGACGTAAATTAAAAATAAAATAGGTCCCAATACCGAGCCTTGCGGTACCCCGTGAGCAGCGACTAACTGTGTGGATGATGAACCTTTAAAGAATACAAATTGGCGTCGATTACTCAAGTAAGATTTAATCATTGCAGTGGATGCTTCATGAAAGTTATAAAAAGGGAGCTTTTCCAACAGGATGTCGTGTTGAACACAATCAAAAGCTTTGGACAAGTCCAACAAACATGCTGCGCCATATAGGTTGTTTTCAAAAGTCTCGTTCACAAACTGAATAAAACTGCTAATAGCTGATGTGGTGGAACTATTTTTCCTAAAACCAAACTGTGTTGAGCAAAATAGATTATTAGCCTCAAAGTATTCATTAATTTGATCTTTCAACAATAATTCCAAAATTTTCGCAAAAATAGATACTAAGGAAATGGGCCTGTAGTTGCATAACTCTTCAGTATCCCCTTGTTTGAAAATGGGTATAATTTTAGATAGTTTGAAAAAATCCGGAAAAGTATTACTTTCTATACACTGATTGAATAACTTGGTTAGAGGATATATGATGAGATTTTGCAAGGTTTTGGCAATCCTGACAGTAAAGTCATATGGGTTAGTACTCTTTGAGTTTTTTAGTTTATTTATGGCAGTTCTCACATCATGATATGAAACTTCCCTGAATCGAAAGTGTCAACTATGAGTAGGATGATTCATATAATGCGATGGAGAAACATCGGATAGGGTAATTTCATTTAAAAGTTTTTGTGGGATATGGTTAAAAAAGTCGTTGAATTGATGTGCTGTGAGAGTCTGTTGTTGGATTTATTAATGTAGTCATCATTGGCTTTAATCTTAGCTTTCACAATTTTTTGTCTGTAACTGTATTTAAATTGTTTCAAGCAGTCCGTACTAACTAAAGTAACATCGCCTTTATGAAGCTCTGTTAGGAATGTCAAAGTCTCTCTCATATTTCTTATATGATCATTGAACCAATACACATTACAGGAGCTTTTATTATCATTAACAAGTCGCGATTTTATAGGACGATGTTGATTGACCGAAATTCTGACAATAGATATGAATTTTTCAATTTTATATTCGATTGTCGGACTTTTTTCATTAACAAATTCGAAAGATGTTGATTCCATATCATTGTAAAGTTTGAAAAGGCCGCTGTTTATTATAGGTCTATAATAGAGTTTCCTACGTACTTTCGGTACATGTGATAAATTAAAAGTATAGTCAAGCGCTAAATAATCTGAGTAATGAGTATCAAAAACATTAACGCTATTTTCTGAGTCTACGTAGTTTATGGAGATGTTATCTAGACAACTTGAGTTTCTTGTATTTTGACTAACTATTGGCAAGAAACCATAACAACTAAAAAAGTTCACAAGCTCCTGAGCTTGGTGTTGTAAGGTATTAAATCTAAAATTAAAATTGTTTAAGGTATGAACTTTCAAATATGAAATAATTTTTATTCATTTCCGATACTTTATTTTTTCAATTTTTGTCACCTTTTTGAATAAATTCACCACGTTGCGGCGCCATCCGCAAGTATCTTCTTGTCGGTATTTCAATTGATTCTGAACTTAGGGAACAATGGCAAAGTTATGAGCACTCTACCAATTGTATGCCCAGTATTTTTGAGCGATAGCCAATCACTACCCTTTCATTCTTAAAAGACAGCAGTCCATGTGGACCCTGCACACTGGACAGCAATTTGGAGTCATTTGAGATAGATTAGGAAGCTCGTGAAGTATTCAACTACATATTAACTTAGAAATAGGTCTTAAATGTATGTAGAGACCATACTTGTTTTAACGGCTATGTTAAATAGTGACACTCCAGACGTTATCATCGCATCTTGTTACAAAAGCAATATGTCAGTGAATTGAGTAGGTATATAGTGTAATCCCATCTTACGGTGTATATGGTCCACAAGTCATGCTGTCTAAATGTGGTTACAGTGGTTTAGGCGGAATGACAACAAAACGGCCACCGTACCATTCCTTTGGGTTATCAGAGCCGTAAGTTGTGGAAGCCATCAATTATTTCCCCGTATAGACCGTATTCCTAAGACTCGTATGGTAGTTTTAACACACCCTGTATATAGCGACCTTCTGGTAATAGCTTCGCTCCTATCGACAAGGAGTTCACAACCATCAGATATTAAAACCAACCGACCAGAAACGTCTATGCAACCCTATCAGTCAGAAATGTAATAGAACTAAACTGGTCATCTGTAACGAACCATCCGAGACAGTTACGATACTTCCTCGTCCAAAACACCCGTGTGTGCTAACGATATTCAAAACACGAGTGGCAGGAATAACTACCTTGTCGGTAGTTTGCGATTTTTTTCCAAGTGAATAAGGTCATTGTCCCCTCCGTCCATTGTCTGGTCGTCCACATGAATGAGAATCAATTAGGTATGTGCCAACTGTGGACGTAATCTCCCAATCGTTCAGAAGCATTTTTTCATGACAGGCGGGAATATCCGATTTCATCTATAAGCGATTTATTAAGGGGGAGGACAGGTGGTTAAGAGACCAAGAGGGAGCCGTAGAAAGGCGTGTTTATTTGGAGGTTTCATAATTTAAAAATTATAGCTTCCAGTAACGTGGATATAGGAAAAGAATCAGGCTATTGTAAAGGTGCTTGTTCGACATCATGTTATATACTATTTGGAAGTGTTTACTATTTAACCTCATGAACTGTACAGGGTGGCCAACTAAGAATGCAAGGTACTGTATCTGGGAACCAATCCATCGTAGAGGCTTGCGGCAAAAAAGTTCTTACTAAAACAGCCAAGAGAAGAACCTGGAAAATATTTTTATCTTTCTGAACGTAACTGCAATCTTGAATCTAAAAAAGTCATGTTTTTGTGAATTCCGCAATACTAACCTAACAAAAAATACCTGATCATTAAAGTCGATAATATGAACTTTTTTTTGTTTCACCATTTTTTCTGAATCTCTAAAAATAATGGGGGGGGGTTGTTATTCAAAGGTGCCCTTAAAAACACGCTGTATCCAAACGGCTGAGCTCATTTTAATAAACTTGGGCTAGTTGAAAAGAGCTATTCTTGGACTACAAATGTTATAAAATTTGAAGTCTTCTTAGTTTCACACCTGGCCACTGGAAGGCTTTTATAAGTTTTGCTAGTTTTACATGTGGCTGTTAGAGGGCTTTTTTCGACATTCCGACAAAAATAGTTAATTTTCTCGAAAACAATTAAATGTATCGGCACGATTTTTTTTATGAAAAAGTAGCTAAATGATGTATAAACAAGCTCGTGAAAACCGCATCTCGATATATTGTTCCTAACTTAAAATTTAGGTCAAAGAAAATTTTAGACGGAAATCCATAAAATTTTTATTTGTTTAAACTAATCTTTCTGGAGTTTTATTCATCAGAATAAAAGCGACCGTTTTAAAAATATTGCGAAATATCGCTAAAAGGTAAGTAAGTAATGCTAGTAAAAAAGGCATTTTTTTTTGTTTAAATGCATATTATTCACTACGGGTATATATGAAAAAGCCAATAGAAACAGGCCATGGAGTACAACAAAACAAATACCTAGTCAAAACAAATAATACTCAAATTGTCAATAATTAATAATAATAATAGACGTCTTTATTTATCCACAATTGCATTGTAGTATAGCCAAATGTCAGACGAGGTTTAGCATGCTGCTACTCTTACACAATTCTCAATAATTTCCCGTTACGTTAATTGTTGTGGTTACCAAATGCGTTTTATTGCAGATTATTGTGAATGTCTTCAGAATGCCTCTGTATCAAAAAGAGTTTACGCGATTCGATATCCATAT